TTTTTTCTTTCACATCATTTGGGGTAAATTTAGATAAAGATCTAGCTTCTTCGCATAAAGGAGTATACACGTTTAGAGTACAAGGACAGATATATCATGACCTCCCAAGTCTATTACCTGAGGAGAAGCCCATATTCTTTYAGCTRTATTTTTATGATACCATGAACGAAATCCAAAATCGAATGGATAGACTAGGAGATATTGGGTTGAATGAAAAGGTTATTGAAAAAATTGTGAAAATTTTGAGAGAAAATCCATGTCCAGTTTTTCCGAAGCCTACAAGATCTCCCATAAATTGAAGATGCTCATATTCATATTGCTACGGATGTACAAGTTGATCAATGTGTCTATAACTTACTTGGAATGAATCAAGTTGCTGCTATTTGGATTGAAGGAAATAATAAAAATATTTCATTTAAGAGAGATATTGTAGTACATGCACATTCAGGAAAAAGACATAGAATACAACATTATTTCAGCTGTTATGATTCACTTCAATATCCTTTACTTTTTCCATATAGAGAGGCTGGTTGGCATCAAAACATTAAAAGAAATGCTAGGCCAAATCATGACAATGGTGTCTACAAAAATTCAATAGATGGAACATCCAACACTCCTCAAATTAATAGCATTGAAGACATCATCAATAGTGAAAATCAAGGTACGTTTACTTTGAAATTTAAATTTAATGACATTTGTTAATTAAAATTTATGAACATTCAATTATTCATGCTATAATATATATATACTTTTAATCTTTGTAGGAATTTCAAAGGGTCGGTCCCCTAAGGTTTCATGTAGGGAATATTATTGTTACAAGCTACAAATACGTATATCTACTCCATCAATGTTGCTTCGAGCTGGCCGACTTTTCCAACAATATGTTGTTGATATGTACATAAAGCTTGAAACAACAAGACTTGATTTCTATAAGACACAACAATCACACATTCGATCTGAGTTATATCAAGGAATTGTTGACACTGTAAATGCAGGGGAAACAAGGGGAGATAAAGTTGGAAAACATATTGTTCTTCCTTCGACATTTATTGGAGGTCCAAGAGATATGTGACGTAGATATTTAGATACTATGGCCTTAGTACAACATTTTGGAAAGCCATATCTTTTCATAACTATGACCTACAATGCTGATTGGAAGGAAATAAAAGAAGAACTAATGGAAGGACAACATTATCAAGATAGACCAGATCTGACTACAAGGGTTTTTAGAGGAAATTAATGGACTTAAAAGACCAAATTCTACACAAATAAATTTTTGGAAAAGTGGCGGCTTTTGTATATGTAATTGAATTTCAAAAGCGAGGTCTTCCACACATGCATATGTTGGTAATATTGAAAAATGGTTACAAGATCACCAATGCTGACCAATATGACAACTATGTCCAGGCAGAAATTCCAGAAAGCCAAGCAAATCCTGCTCTCCACAATGTTATTATGAAGCACATACTCCATGGACCTTGTGGTGAAGATAATAAAAAATGTCCTCACATGATCAATGGAAAATGTATGTTTCATTACAGTTTTCTGAAAAGACACTTCAAGGAAAGGATGCATACCCAATATATAGGAGGACAGACAATGGAAACCAGGTATTTATAATTATAAAATTTATTTATAATTTTAAGTTTAATTGTTGATAATATATTGCTTAGGGTAGTAATTAAGTTAGTAAAATTAATATTCAAATAATATATTTCRATTAATATTAAATTTCAAAAATTTTAAGGTAACGCTAAGGAAGAAGACTTTTGATAATCGATGGGTGGTCCCTTATAATCTGTACCTACTTTTAGATACAACTGTCACATTAATGTAGAAATATGTTCAAGGTTGAAAGCTGTTAAATATTTGTACAAAAATATATTTACAAAGGACATGATAAGGCGGCAGTTTATATATCGCATGATAGTGATCATAAAAGTATTGATGAAATAAGAGATTACCAAGATGCAAGATGGGTATCTGCGCAAGAGGCCTTACGGAGAATTTATGATTTTAGATTGAATGAAATATCTCTTCCAGTGATAAACTTACAACTTCACCTTCCAAATATGCAGTGTGTTTCTTATTGGGAATCAGAATTTGAAGAAACTAATTCATTGGGATCATGTCTCTAAGACTATGWAAACAGAGTTCTTTAACATGTGTCACAAATATGAGACTGCCTGTAATTTTTTATACAAAGAATTTCGTGAACATTATGTATGGGATAAACAACTACGAATGTGGAACGAAAGGAAAAAAGGAGTGGTTATATCACGCATCGTAGGAGCAAATCCAAGAGAAGAAGAAAGATATTACTTGCGTTTACTACTAAACCATGTTAGGGGGCCGACATCATTTGAGTACTTATTGATTGTAAATGGAAAAAGAATGTCGRCGTTTTAAGGGGCTGCATAAGAAAAAAGACTTTTAGAGTCCGACCAAAGTGTGCTRGACTGTTTGAATGAAGCAGTATCATTTGAGATGTCGTATTCTTTTCGAAGACTTTTTGCAACATTATTAGTATACTGTGAACCTGTGGATGTGAGGAAATTATGGGAGGATTATTTTCAAGTATTATCAGAAGATTATAAAAAAGAAGACCCAGAAAATTTGGATTATCAAATGCAGCGTACTTTACGAGATATAAAATTATTCTTGGAGTCCATGGGCAAAGAAATTACCATGTATGATTTACCAGAAATCAAAGATAAGTCATATGATGGTAATAGAAAGTATATGAAAGATGTATTCGATGAGCAATCAGTTGAGGTCCCAGATGAAGATATTGAAGCATTATCAAAGTTGAATGAAGAACAAAAAATTGCATTTGATATAATAATGGATAGAATCRATAATAATAAAAGTGGCGTATTTTTCGTCGATGGGCCAGGAGGAACAAGGAAAWTTTTTTTATATCGTTCATTGCTAGCAAATGTAAGATCAAGAAACATGATAGCAATTGCAACAGCAACATCAGGTGTTGCTGCTTCGATAATGCCAGGAGGACGAATCRCTCATTCTAGATTTAATATACCACTACAAGCAAATGAATCATCTATATGCAATATTTCTAAGCAGACTAATAGGGCAGAGTTAGTTAGACAAGCAAAACTCATTATTTGGGATGAAACACCTGTGGCAAAAAAGGTAACAATAGAAGCTGTTGATAGAACATTTTGAGATATAATGGAAAATTCAAAACCATTTGGTGGAAAGGTTGTTGTCTTTGGAGGGGATTTCCGACAAGTACTTCCTGTTGTCCCACGGGCGATATGACAACAAACCGTTCATGAAAGCTTGGTAAAGTCATACCTTTGGAGCAAATGGAAAAATTACAGTTGAAAAAAAATATGCGAGCTCAGAATGACTACCAATTTGCAGAGTATTTATTAAAGATTGGGAATGGAACTGAACCATCAATAATTGAAGACYATGTTCACCTACAAAAAGATATTGCCATTATAAATGAAGGTCATGAAGATTAAGTATTAAAATTACTGAATATTGTTTATCCTGTCCCACAAAATGCAATGTCAGCTGAATATATAACAAATAGAGGGATTCTTTTGATGAGATCAACGATAAAATGATTCGCCTATTTCCTGGAAACATAGAAGAGTTCATGAGTTTTGACGAGGCAATTGATGACACACATAATTACTATCAAGAAGAATTTCTCAATTCATTATTGCCCAATGGTTTTCCTCCTCACAATTGATGCTAAAAATAAATTGTCCGATCATACTTTTAAGAAACTTAGATCCATCTAATGGTCTATGTAATAGAACTAGAATGGTTTGTCGGAAATTTCAGAAGAACGTCATTTATGCAGAAATCACATCTGGCCAACATGTAGGAAAACAAGTCTTCCTCCCACGTATACGAATGAGCCCGGAAAATGATGAAGGATATCCATTCAAATTCAAAAGAAAATGTTTTCTAATTCGACTATGCTTTGCCATGACTATTAATAAGGCTTAAGGACAAACAATTTCCAATGTGGGAATTTATCTTCCTCAACATGTTTTTTCCCATGGACAATTGTATGTCGCACTTTCAAGAGACATTTCTACCGCAACAACAAAGGTATTGATGAAATCAGATGATCGATTGACAAAAAATATTGTATATAAGGAAGTTTTGACCAATAATTTTGAAAGCCTGGGAAGAATTTTAACTGTTTTTATTTTTTTTCAGTACAATCAAATATATAGAGAATTTGAACTAAATTCGTGAAATATATGATTAACTAATTAAGCTAATAAAATTCGAATTTTAACTATTTTTAGTATTGAGTAAAACTGATTGTCTATTATCAAAGCAAGGTCAGCGATAATTAACATAATCTCTGGAAGTTGTGAGTTCGACCCTATCCCTACATGTTGCACTCAAAAAAAAAAAAGAAAGAAGAAGAAAACTGATCGTCTATTAAAAGTTTAAAATAGAATAATTTTTTCAATAAGTCTAATTTACAAAATTCAATTAAGAAGAAATTATTATTTTATCTTTTATCTCTTCAATTTTTTTAAACTAATTAATTCTATGCTCATATTGACTCCATAGGTGGGAGTAGGGTATCATTCTAAACGAATGTAAATATCAACCTTTACTGTAGCTATAAGAGTGCGACACAAGTGTAGTCTATACCAGATAGTATTCTTGTAGATACTCCCATTGACCCCATAAATGAAAGTAGGACATCAGTACACACCACATTTCACCATAAACGCAAGGAACTCATTTCGTCGTTCGCATCAAAGTTGATTGAGAAAAATCCAGGTAATGTATATATATTTATTGATACTGTAGTTTTGTTGTATATGTGAATATTTACCAAACGTTATCATGCAGGAACGTATGTGTAATTTTCTGAACTTGATTATTACAGTACATTTTYTTTATTCATTCTTCAAGTTGGTTGTATATGCATATATTTACTAATAATTATCATGTAGTATACAGCCCATGAGGTCGAAGCTAGAGGCAGACAAATACTTTTCTATGAGTTTATATAGGATGATGTGGGAGGTGCTTGAAGTAAAAAAGATGGGAGAAGATGAAGATGCTCTCCTRTACCCTAATTTTTTTAATTAAGTAAAAGGTAAGACTTAAAATTTTCAATCTAACTTTTTTATATAATCATATTTACCCTCTTATTTTGAAATTTAAGATTTTAGAGGATAAATTTCAAAACCTACCTCAACACATTTTTAACAATTTTTTCTTAAATCTACTTTCAAATTCTGATTATCAATTTTAAATTAGTTTTAAGTTAATTATTTTAATTTCATTTCATTTTTTATTAGATAGAGTTGATTCCTGATTTATTTTGTTCATAAGGGTAAAAAGAAGTTAAATGGGTGCTGTTTTCTAACGTTTGAAACTCGGAAACCGTGATTTAAGCTTGGTTTAGTATCCAAAACTTTTCATTTTAAGTTATCTTAGGTTATACATGCACATAKGATGTTTTTACATCATTTAGAGTTGATTTCTAACGAAATTACACTTTTGTGCAGAAAAATTTCGAGCTAGGAGCCTGAYGTCTTCCCCAATCCCGAGATTGCCCTTAATGTAAAACGCACGTTTTGGTGTGATTTGAARTCTTCCCAAGCTCTGCCACGTGTCTTCCATGCATTAAAGGTTGCCAATTCAACAACTACCCAACCAAAAGATGTTTGAAATGGATGACTCTYCACAAAGCTCTCAACCTCCTAACCACCTTGAAGTCCCTATAAATTCAGCAACTCATTCTCTTCATTCATCATCCGGAGTGATCATTTTARCTTTAGACGTTCCTTCTCAGCTTATTTACGTTTTCTCTTTTAGTCTTTGAGTTGTTATTGTTTTAAACCTTGTTTATTTCTAGTTCACCCTTTATTTCTAGCTTGTTAGTCTTGAATTGTAAGTTTTAATCTTGTTTAATTAAAATTCCAGCAAGTTCTTTGTTACTCATCTCTCTCTCGTTCTCATTACGAAGTTGTAATCACTCAACCTTGAGGAATGATCGAGTACTACTCCCCAATCTTGAAAGAGAACGRGTTATGGYCATTCGGGTTACAACTCCACCATTTCCAGCTTGTTTTAATTCTACTAATCTTTTAATCATGTCTTTTACTTCCATTAACGTTCAATTTTGTTTTTTCCTTTATTAGCATGAGCTAAATTTATTTTTCCCAAGCCCGGTTATAGATAGTTAGTTAAAGTTTTTAAAATCCAACAAGRCAAAAAGTGTTTTTTCTCCCATTTTATCACTTAAAGTTGTTTCCATAAGTTGAAACTTGATTTGGCCAATTAATGTTTTAACCAAGCATCAATACTGAAAGGGTTGATACGTTTTCACAACTTTACTAATTTAACTTTAGAGAGGAATACTTTAGACATAAAGATTTCGCTCGGGTATCCTAGACATACGACCTCGACCTAAGGTTACTGTTGGTTTTTACTAAATTAAGTTCTTTTTTCTAATGGGTCGACCCTTGGGTCATACCTAGGCCTAAGGACCTTGTCGATTTGGGCCGACTTACCTTTTCAAGATGGGCTCCTGAAGTGTTCAGGTTACACCCTGATCTTCTTCTTAGACATTTCACTAGCTTGTTTGTATATAGCTAGACTTTATTTAACCCAAGACACCTGATTTTCAAAAAAAAAAAAAAACAAGAAGAAAAGTTGGACAATAATTATAAAAAGAGATTAGTACATTTATAGACTTTTGAGTGGTTATAATTACATAAAAGGATTCAATCTATAAAATTTACACTTTTATCATAAATGGATGGGATAGTACCTATGAACAATTTACAATATATCATTCTTTATTTACACCTAAATATTAATAAATTATTGAAATTAAAAATAGTTGATTTTGGAGGTTAGATTTCAAATCCCTTAATTTATGCAAATTTACACTTACCAAAAATAAAAATACCAAAATCCCCAAAATCCTTTTCGTCTCCCTCATTCGCTTGTTTCTTCTTCCATCGGTTTCTTCTTCTTTCCAAAACACCATTTTTTCGGACCATTTACTCCGTTCACTCGTCGGTATCAAGCCGTCGCGTTAAGGTTCTTCGTTCTTGTCGCTGGCTGTTTACTCCGTTTATCCCGTAGTAGACCGTAGCAGACCATTTACTCCGTTCTCGTCGCAGGCCGCCCGTAAAGCTTCTCACCATTCTAAATTCGAGGTTTGTTTCGTCTTCTTCTCACCATGATATATTTTCCGTATTCATATATCTTTAAGATGGTACACATTCTTTTAGATGTATTACTATTGTACTATTTAACCTCATTCCTGTAAAGTTTTCGATTCCAGTTTTGAACAATCCTCCCTTTCGAAACTCCATTCCTTTAGATGAACTAGTTTTGTACTGTTTAACTTTATATATATATATATATATATATATATATGCGGATATAGTTTATATCAAGTTTAACTAGTTACCTTTAGATGAACAATTTTTCTCACTAGCTAGTTTAATTAGTTATCATC